TGCAAGCATCTTAGCGCTACCGTGGTTACCACTAAAAACAACGATATTGCTTTGTCGCACGCGTCTCACACGCCTTGGCAGGGCCGTACACGCCTAGGTGCTTCGCCCTTCTCACTCGTTGCGTGGGATACGCAACAATATTAATCGGATGCATTTAAATATGAGTAATAAACTTGTTAACACAATTAACACAAATGGATGTCGTCTGTTTCTCATATAAAAAAAAAAAAGTACATTATTTTATAATAAACGATTGAATTAAATATTAAATAAAAATTTTTTAAACAAAATAAATCGGTTAAAATTATGACAAAATCCGTTTTTTTTTATTTGACGAACAAACTGATGGAAGAAAAAAAAAAACGTTGACTCGATTTGAGAAACGAACGAACATGATAATAATTGTTAATTAATTACAAAATAATTAATTTATCTCGAAATAGAGTTGAAATTATTAAAAAGGAATAATATTCTTACGAGAGACAGGTGTTGTATTATACGTGTTTACTGTAAAACGGTCGTGCTGTAACTATCTCGAAAGTGTTTTTATTATACATGTATCAGTATAAAAGAAAGTAAATATATGTATATAAAAATATAGTATAGATTATATTAAACTACCTTGAAAAAGTTGGTAATTATATTCTTTTTTTTTATTCACGCGTCGATACAATTGGTAATAAATATTTCAACGGAATTTTCTATTTCATTATTATAAAATAAATCTGTACATTTTTTAAATATTTTTTTTAATATTTTAAAATTATATAAAACACATGTGTGATAAAATACACAACGTATACGAATCAACGAGAAGTATTTATCAACAAAATATTATTTTCTAAAATATAAGAATTCATTTTATTTTGTATTCTAACAAAAACTTGTATATTATATATATATATATGATAAAATTATTTATTAATTATTTTTATATATTCGTTAGAGTTGTTGAACAACGTTGACGATATTATACCATAACTTTACGACACGATATCGACTAGCATTTCTAAACATAGAACTTATACGACGAGAATATGGTAAACCCGAAGTATTATTCTACATAGATAAAACGTTTCATATTTTACGAGATTATTAAAAAAAAGAAAAAAAATGATTGAGAAGATTCTAAGGTACAGTCATTCATTCGTTTCTTGTGCCCTTTACCACTGAACGAACAATTTTTCAATTGTATTTTTGGTTTCTTATCAATTTTTTTAAAATAAACCATTTGAAAACTCACGTTTCTATAACATAGTTACTTTTTCTTTTTTCTTCTTCTTCTTCTTCTTCTTCTATTTATTTTCACTTAAATAATATGATGGTAAAATATTGCTGAATAAAATTGGAACACTTTATACCATTTATATACATATAAAAAACGTGATTAAGAATATTATATTAAATTTTGTGCTGTATATCGCAAAGTACTGTATATGGCAACATTTGTCACTCGTGTGAATATAAACGAAAATAAATTGCTAAGAAACAAAAAAAAAGAAAAAAAAATAGAATATACGTCGAAATAAATAACGACCATATTCCATGTGATTTTTACGAAAAGTATATATATATATATATATATATATACTTTTCGTAAAAATCACATGGAATATGGTCGTTATTTATTTCGACGTATATTCTATTTTTTTTTCTTTTTTNATATATATATAATATAATATATAATTTAAATAATAAATATAATTAAATTAATAATTATAATATATAATATATAATAATTAATAATTAATTTAAATTAATAAAATTATATAATTTTATATAAACAATTGGAAAAATAAATAAGATACGTTGAAAAAATTATTATACTCGATCAAAAGCCATTATAGCGAAACACACGCCAAGTTTCATATCGATTTACAGGTAAAAAAAAAATATATATATATATTTATATAATTATATAATTTATATAAATATATATTTTATATAATTAAAAAGTTAAACAATTAAAATAGAAAGAAGAAGAAAAACGCGCACACATTTAGGTTACGCTGATCACTTTCTTTTCTTTCCTAGCATTTTTGCTGTTTTTTTATTTAATACAAAATCTAAAGAAATATACGAAACGGTGAGAAGAGAAGAAGTAAAAGAAGAAGAAAAAAAAAGTAGTAATACTCCAGGGGAAAAAAGGAATCGAGAGGAATGATGTTCTAGTTTAAAAAAAAAAAGAGAAATAAAAATAGAAAAAGAAGAATGTGACACGCGTTATACTCTTAAATAATTCCAAGCTGAACTACGACTATACATTTATAATATACATTTTTTTTTTTCCCATGGTACAACACTGACCAGGTGTGACACGCACTTTTGCGTGTCACACGGTAGATGATAACAAATAAAATAAAAAGAAATAAAAAAATATCTTTCTATTCCCTACACCAATAATTCACGTTGGTCAACTAATTCGGTTTACTTGTGGAAGAGAAAAAGGGTAGAGAAAGGGAAGAGAAGGGATGGAAGGGAATTAAGGGAGGGGTTAGTAACGGTATAAAGGGAGACATTTGAAATTATAGATCAACTAGCTAGCTAGCTAGCTAGCTAGCTCGAGGTGGTGGAACGATTTATCTCTCCGTGAAACTACGTCGATGGTTTCCTTGTTTTACGTTGATGTTGCAGTGAACTGCTGACCCAAGTTAGAATTCGATGCGTTTCTCGTTGGATAACAACGCGACAGAAAGCTCTGAGGAAAAGAGGAAAAGAAAGAGGGAGGGAGAGAGAGAGAGAGAAAGAAAGAAAAAGAAGAGAGTCAAAGAGAAAGAGAAAGAAAAAGAGAGCTTTTTCTTTTTTCTCTTGCTCGCGTTTTAACTCGAGGATCAAAAGGAATTCTGGAAATGGTTTCACCAACGTTTTGCAGCATTTCAAACGTCTCTCTTCAAGTTACAAGAGAGAAAGAAAGAAAGGAAGAAAGGAAGAAAGAAGTAAAGAAAGAAAAAGAAAGGAAAATAATGAGAAAAAAATTTTTTTTTTTCTTTTTTCTTTTCTTATATTTTTAAACGAACATAACTACGAATTTCTTCCCCTTACCTTTTTCGTGACCCATATTTTATTTCTTTCTTTCTAATATATATATATATATATATACTTATTTATCAATATATCGTGTAATAAAATATATATATCGCGTGATTGTAATTTTTATTTTTACGTTAATAACGCCACCATTACCCCACCACACCCTATCCAACTTCACCTGACCCCCGCTCTCGTGTGTTGATGAAAGAATGGAATATGAAAATGATAAGGGGAACAAAATATTAATAGGAATATAATATAAAATAAAATAATGGTGAAACGCGCGTAATCATTTTTCTTTTTGCCTGAAGCAGGCAGACGGTGGGTGTCTCTTCTTTGACTATTTTCTAGTATAGGTTTCTTTATTTTTATACATTTCCTTTTTTTCTCTCCCTTTAGACTATTTCTTTTCCTTTTATTTTTCTACCTTACATTTAGATACGCTGATCTCTTTCTTTTTCTTTCCTGGCTTGTTGGTTTTTTTTTTTTTTCTTTTCATTTCTTTTCTCTTCTTCGTTCATCCCTTATTTTTCTCTCCAACAAAACCCGGAATAATTAATACGACCATTTCTTTCTTTTTTTTTCTTATTGTCGGTTGTGTTTTTACATTATTATTGTTTGCTTTTCTTTTCTCTCCCCACCCCCCCCCTTTCCTTTCCTTTATCCATTCTTATTATTTTTCTTTGTGAAAATGAACGTGTTTATGAAAAAAAGAAAAAAAAAAGTTTATAGAAAAATTTTACGCGCACCTTTGGCATTACGGGATTTCTCTCTCTCTCTCTCTCTCTCGTTGTGTCATAACGTGGGTGGTGGGTTGTTTACGTCACTTCTATTGTTCTTGATGTGTACTCTAAGTTACGGTTAATATCTTCGTTCAGTTGACCACACGCAAACACTCATTAGGTTGATTAACGTCAATGCATTTACATTGTCACGCGCTTCATTGTTTATTTAATCATCAATCCTTAAGTCTATGGGGAAAAAAATATATTTTAATGAAAATAAACATTTCATTGCGCAATCTTTTTCAACTACCCCTCCCCACCCCCTCTACTCATCTACCTATCTACCACCATAACGAAGATATTTGTCAACCGTGTTCGTATGAAAGGAAAATAAATTGTTCGATTATAATATATTTGAATCGTGAGAAACGTCTATCAATGAACAAGTGACAATATCATTTTTTTATGTATATTATTATAATGCATATAAATTTTTAATCAATGAAAAATAAATGAGATATGTTGAAAAAATATGATACCTAATATAATGGTGTTTAATCGTACAGAATGATTTGCAAGAAACACTTTAACCCAATAATACAAATTTATTTTGTTCATCCCCAAATTACAAACTGAGGTATATATATTTACCCCAAGGGTATTTTAATCCTAAAAACTGACTTTTAATTGTATGAATTTTTGTTGTTTTTTCATGCCAAAGAGAATGGGGAAGAACAAATTCAATTTGACTAAAGTTTAATCGGTGAAAAATCGATAGAAATAAATGAAATTACTGAAAAACGATGAAATCTTCATTGAACATCGAAAAACTTAGGGTAGATATCTATCCCCAGTTAGTAGTTCTAGGTTTAATAACGAAAATCGAATGGTACTATAGTTGATTGATCGAAAACCACTTTAGTGGCTTGATCAAAAGCCATTTTAGTTGATTCGTTAAACAACACACACCACTGTAATGGCATTTAAACATACAGAATGATTAACAAGTAAACTACTATAATAACGAAAATCGAATGCTAATATAGTTGATAAATGATTTTAATTGATTCGTTGAATGCCACCTAGTAATGCATGATTTAAAAGCAAATAATTATAATTATGCATAGAAATTAAAATGTTAATTAATAATATTATGACAAAGTATAAATATAAAATGATTATTAAAAATTGTTAAACAATCTCTCTCTCTCACACTCTCGTTATAACAAATTTATTTGTTTTCAGGTGAATCGGGTAGTCATGTATTCGGTAGCATCACCGATGGTGTCTTTCATGGGAAGATAGTGTCGTCACGAGCTGATGCATGGTACGTGGAAAGAGCACACTATTATTTTCCACCGCACGAGATAAACGAGACCTTGCATTCCGTGATCTATCACGAAAATGACGTCGGTGATCCGTACTCTGAAGTACGACAAGGTAAACCCTTTTTCTTACATGTATACGTAATATTACATATTTACTTATGCGTGTGTTTAATCGATGAACATATTTCAATTTTTAAAAATCGGTCATATCAATTTTCTAATTTTAATAAATACCTTTCTTTTTGATTATATTATACAATTTTATAATAAAACACACAAACACACACATTATAAAATTAGAAAATTATATATATATATATATATATTATTATAAAATTTATAATTATAAAATTTGTCAGAAAGAAACCCCCCTCGAATACAACACACACCCAACCAATATATTTGATTCATTATTTACTCCCCTTTTTTCTTTTACACCCCCTCAAAAAAAAATACACGGTCTATTATTTAAATGTAATTTTTTAAACAGGAATATTATAAGTTTAACAAATGACCCGATAAAATATTCAAATTTGCTTACGTGAACTTGGTGTTGTAACATTGATGGTAAATAGTTTGCGGTTAGTAGTAATATTCCTAGCGTTGTTCGGTTAGCTTTAAAACTCGAGCATCATGAACGTGTGGCTGTGTGAGTGTGTGTGTGGGTGTAGATGTAGGTGTGTGTCGGTCGATTGTTGTTAACGATCTTCTTCTCGGAACCAAGAGGGAAAACAGAAGAAAGAAAAAGATAAAGATAGAGTGAGAAGGGTAGGAGGATGAGTAGGAGGATGAGTAGGAGGGTGAGGGTGAAGGGGAGGAAAGGGTCATACCGCTTACACTTGGTCGAGCACCCCTTTGTCGTCGAGGATGTCCACTCGCGTGTGCGCACGCGCGCACTAAGCTTCTAATCTGTTTTTTTTCTTCTTCTTCTTCTTTTTTTTATTATTCCTCTTTTCTTCTTTATCTTCAAAGTTTTCTTCCACCAACGGTATGGTGTGAACCTCCCCCCCTTACCCACTACCACTAACCATCCCTTAAAAGTATCAATTAGAAAAGAAAACGAAGAAAATAAAGATTTGAAACACGCAGGGGGTGGAATAGGAGGAGGAGGAGGAGGAGGAGGAGGTGGGGTGCAGGAATAAAATCATGACATCGAAATAGACATATTATATGCTCGACAAATCGCAGTTTCAATATTTAACAAAAAAAAAAAATAACAACAAAGATTTAAACGTACCGTACGTACGTTCTTCTTCCATGTCGAATAAAATTGAACGTTCATGTTTATTCGTATATGTATAAAACACGCGACTAGTGGACATCCATGTGATATTTGAACCGGATCCGTTAAAAAATGCATACACACGGAGAACGGGTAACGTCCTGACTGGTTGGTTGGCTGGTTGGCTGGTTGGCTCATAGCAAGGCAAAGCGAAATCATGCAGTTTGCATAAAAGCTTCACATATCGAAAAGTCCAGGGGTAGGGTAGAATGGGGTGGGTGGGGTGAGGTGGTATGGGGTGGGGTGAGGGTTAGGGGATGTTCGAATTCGCCACGCGCTATTTGCGTTATCGCACTGAGTTTCTTCGATAGCTGCTACGTGGAATATTTGCAATAGAAGAGAAATAGAAAGAGAGAGAGAGAGAGAGAAAGAGACAAAATAATATCCGTACAGAATTTCGAATATTTACGTATACGTCTCTGTATGTGTGTGTATGTTTAAGCTGGAATGTCCAAAATGGCTTTTAAGAAAGACCACCCCGCACCCCTCAAACCTCTTTTTGCAATATGTATTTTCGTATGCTTTACTACGTTTCATGTCGGCTTTGATATCTTTCATAAAAGAAAATACTTATAAATATAAATATGTGTGTGTACGTGTGTGTATATATATATATATATATAATTTACAACGATTCGCATAAAGTTTCTTCAGATTTTGTTTTATTAACAGTTTCTACTATTTTTATATAACCATATTGAAATTGTCTTTTAAAAAAAGGATTACAATATTAAAAGTTCAAAAATGTGCGGTACCATTTAAAAAATGAAAAAAAAAAAAAGAAACAAAAACGAAGAAAAAAAACTAAATAGCGTTCGAATATTTAACGCGCTTTTATTACACCACTCGGGGGGAAAAAAAAAAAAATTTTTTTCCCATAACGCATATTATCATAACTTGCCTCTAGACGGCAAATGACATTATCTTTTTCTTTTTCTTTTCTATCGTTAAAAAATTTATAGATATTATTCTTGGTGCCGGTTTTAGTCGACATTATTGAAAAGTAATTTAAACGATGCTACATTTTTTCTATTTTTCGACATAAAGAGAGATAACCAAAAAAGAAAGAAAATACCATTAATATCTAAGAGATTCACGAGAAGTTTATAATTCGAATAATAGTATCGTATGTCGAAAATTGTATATGTGTGTGTATGTGTGTCGCAAATTTTTCGTTAAAAATGATAAACTAAAAGAGAATTTTCGTCTGAAGAGAAGAGAAAGCTCGTGCAAAATTTTAATCGAAACGCGGTTTCTCCAAACCCCTATCTGAATTTCCTTTCCTCTATATATATATATGTATATGTGTGTGTATGTATACGTACATCTACGTCACATTTTATTCAGATGTATATTTGTACTGGTCGTGCAAATAGCCAACGCTTAAATAAACGGGTAGCATATCGCGTGTAATATTTATCATGATTTTCTCTCTCTCTCTCTCTCTCTCTCTCTCTCTCTCTCTCTCTCTTTCTCTCTCATCTGTTGTAATAGTAGCAGGAGAATGAACGAACAGGTGTTTGCTTATACGAGATATGTGTGCCGTTATGACAATATGTATGCCACGCGAAGAAAATTCAAACATTTCCCGATGAATCTTGTTTAAAAACATTAACACAAATTTTCGATTAAACGAAAARAAAAAAAAAAAAAAGAAAACTATGTGTCAACGTACATACGTGCATTGATATTATTTTTTTTCCCTTTTACATATTTTTTCTTTTGTTTCTCTTCATTCTCTTTTTATCCTCCTTCTGTTTCGTATATTTTTCTTTTAAAATAAACTATAACAATTCTAAATGTTCATTTGTATTAATACAACGACCCCACCAATAACGATTAAGTAGTAGTAGTAGTAGTTTTAGTAATAGTAATAATAATAAAGATAACCAATGTCGTTTTACTGATTAAACGTCGGAGTCATTAAAGTTCATGGTGGTTTTCAGTTAATTCAAGAATAAAATGATCATTATTGAAAAAGGTTCTAGTAGTATGATTATCTGTTAATGTATGATAATATAATAGAAAATCTTATGAGATCGATAATTGTTATATGTTCGACGAAAAAAAATTGGAGAAAAATAAATTAAAAGGAAAATAAATCTGAGATCAAATTTATGCGAATTGTTATACGTAAATGGAGAATAATACGTAAGAATTGATATGGTAAAAAACATAAGAATTGAAGATTTTCTTCTTTAAACATTAATCTTACTGTGATGATTGGTATAGGGAAAATATAAATGTTTCCATTAAATAAAAAAACGTCTCTCACTGGTACTCAACGAAAACCGATTTTGTAGACGACTACCTATCTACCTACCTACCACCAGGGGTAAAAGAAAAGTAAGCTTTTTGAAGCAGCTTTTCGTTTTACTTTTCTACTGTTTTTTATTTATGCAAGGAAGTACTCGCAAAGCTAGCTAGCAAGCTCCTCGACTAAAATCTCAAATCTCAACTATTCATCCTTTTTTCTTCTTTCCTTTTCCTACCTTTCTGTTATTTATATATGTATATGTATGTATCTATCTGTCTGTGTGTGTGTGTCGAAGAAGTTTAACAAAAATTAAATACAAATTTGGAAGATTGTAAAATATTTTAGAACATGTTGTTACATTCTGCATCCTTTTTCTTTACAAATAAATTATATATATATATTT